AACATTCAATACTCTTCTCCAGGGCCACAGCTCAAAGGCGTCAATTCTCCTTCTATCCTCCCTAGTCATTGTCCAGCTCTCTGATGCATAACAAGTGATTGCAAAGACCATGGACTGTATCAGGCACACCTTAGTCTCCAGAGAGACACCGTTGCTCTTGAGTACTTTAGAGAGGTCCCTAACTGCAGACTTTCCCATCGCAATACGTTTTTTTATTTCCTGGCTGCTGGTGCCAAGAGTATTGACTGGAACAGTACATCAACAGAGAACTGCCAGAAGTCCAGGCTGGGTTTAGAAGGGGTCGTGGTACTAGGGATATTGTAGCTGATGTTAAATGGATCTTAGCTGAAAGCAGAGAATACCAGAAGAATGTCTATCTGTGTTTCATTGATTATGCAAAGGCATTTGACTGTGTGGATCATAACAAACTGTGGCTGACTCTGAGAAGAATGGGAATCCCAGAACATTTAATCGTGCTAATGAGAAACCTATACTTGGACCAAGAGGCAGTCATTAGAACAGAGCAGGACAACACTGCATAGTTCAAAATTGAGAAGGGTGTACGCCAGGGATGTGTCCTATCTTCATACCTTTTCAACCTGTATGCAGAGCAGATTATCCGAGAGGCTGGGCTCTATGAGGAGAAGCATAGCGTTAGGATTGGTGGAAGATCTATCAACAATCTGCATTATGCAGATGACACAACCCTGCTCGCTGAAACTGAAACTCGCTTTTGAAAATACCATGACTTTAATCAGGTACACCCTAGTCTTTAAGTTGTCATCCCTGCTCTTCAACACTTCGGAGAAATCCTGAATAGCAGATTTTTCCAGGCCAACATGTCCTCTGATTTCTTGATTGCTACTACCATGGTGTTGATTGTGGATCCAAGTAAGATGAAACAGTGACAATTTCAGTCTTGTCTATATTCATCATGACATTGCTTGTCAGTCCACTTGTGAGGAAGCTTGGTTTTTGATGCTGAGGTGACATCCATATTGAAGGCTATAGTCTTTGATCTACAGAAAATCAACAAAAGAGAGCAAATTAAGACTGAAGTGGATTCTTTTTCACATTGGGGGAAGTTTGGGCACATAAAATTAAATGTAGAAAAAAGCAATTTGCATATCAAATTGTTTAAGTTAGAATTGTAAACATTCTAAGCAGCACTACTAAGTTTTCATAAACTTGATCCACATCCTAAAGGCCTCGAGACACCTCAGTCTTGAACTCTTGTCTCTGTGGCAGGAGCAAGTCAGCAACTGTTAGATTATTTTTAAAAATAACTTTCAAATCAGATAAAATTAACTTCTGTTAATTCTTGTTGCTGAAAACAAGGATGTTTCTTTCACTGTTCTCTCTGGCCTGTTTGTTTAGAAAAAAATGACAAAGTTCTGAGGCCAGGAAAAGGATAAGAAGAAGGAGAATGGCCCCTGGGTGGTCCTGAGGGGTCTGGGGACCAGTCCAAGCCAGAAAGGCCCACCTGCCTGTCCTCCAGACAACCCAGCTTCCTGGAAACTTCTGACCTATGGTCACACTGCCTTCAGGGGACAATAGTGTCCCTGGCACATCAGTTCCTTGCACACCTTCCCATCTGCCTGAGAAAGGCCTGGGTTCCAAGACTCACAAGTGCCTCCTGTCCAGGAGGCCTTCTTGGATTTCACATGCCTTGGGCAAAATCTATTGCTGAGATACCAGGAGACAAGCAGAATGCAGCCATTCCACACCTGGGCTTAGAGCCAGGCCAGGTGGGGAAAACTCTGCCAGGTGTCCACAGGCAAATCACTCCCTCACCTTGTTTCCTTGTCCACAAGCAAGGAGGATGGGAATGGCATGACCTCAGAGAGTGGCTGTGGGGATGAGGCCTGATGTAGCAAGTGCAGGTGAGTCACCTGTGGTTGCCACACAGGCTCACCAGCAAGAACTACAGGCTGGCCCTTCACACCTCATTTAACCCTCAGGTCTATAAGAGAGGAACGCTCGCCATCTGCATTTTATAGAGGGGAGAACTGAGCCTTCAGAGCTTAATAGCCTGAGCTGTGAATAGTGAGTAGCCACGCCAGAATCTCACCTGAACTCGTGTGGTGTCAGCACCCACAGCCAGGCTGCTTTGCTCCATTGTTTTATTGGTTCATTCCTTGTCTATGGGTTGACATCCTTCCCCACAATGGGCTGTGAACTTCCTCCTTGCAGGGCCATGCCATTTGTCCCCTAGCCAGACCCAGCCTGAGCCTCTTGCCTGGCCTGGTAGGAGGAAGCTCAGGTAAGCCATGTGAAAGTAGATGTGGCACAGGTGAGGTGCGGGGTGACTCCTGTCTTCCACCATTGCCATGTGCACATTTACTCATGCAGAGCAATCCAGAGTCTGTGTGAGCCATTGTTTCCCTGCAAGTGGCACCAGAAGAAAGATCGAAGAAGCAACACCTTTGAATGGTTGTGTTGGTGAATAGTGTTGAATATACTCTGGACTAACAGAAGAATTAATAAATTACTTTGGAAGCAGGGAGGTAAAAACTTCATCTCACATACTTTGGGCATGTTGTCTGGAGCAGCCAGTTATTAGAAAGAGACACCATGCTGGAGAAAGTGGAGGGTCAGAGAAGGAGAAGATCGTTAATGACATGGACTGAGACTGTAACTGAAACACTGGGTTTGAGCGGGTCAGAAGTGGGGGGATGGCGCGAGATAGACCAAGGTTCCTGCTGCTCACAGGGTCGCTATGGGTTATAGTTGATGGCATCTAGCAGCAAAGCAAGAATGCTCCTTAGAAGTGAGTGCGACAAGACTTCATCTCACTCGCTTTGGCTAAGTTATGAGGAGGGGCTAGTCCCTGGAGAACCACGTTGTGCTTGGTGAAGCAGAGAGTCAGTGGAGATAAAAGGAAGAGCCTCAATGAGAGGGACTGACCTGGTCAGTGGCTGCCATGGTGGGCTCAGACATGACAGAGACTGAGGATGATACAGGGCAGGCAGTGCTTTCCTCTGTCGTACAGAATGTCACTTATGTACAACCACCCTGAACAACAACACTGCCGGATGGCGCAATGGTTGGGGGCGTGGCTGCCCAGAAGCCAGGTGCTTGGAACTTAACCTGGCAACTCCTCAGGAGAAAAGACCTGGTAATCCTCTCCAGTACAGATTATCCCTAGGAGACCCATTGTCATATAGGATCTCTAGGAGTTAGAAGCGCAGTCAGAATGCTCCTTGGAGGTGAGCAAGGTCAAGGTGAGGCTTTGGGAGTGATCAGGAGGGTTCAATCCCTAGAGAAGGACATCACGCTTAATAAAGTAGTAGTTGTTGTGTAACATTGAATCAGAACAGACACATACCTGACCCTTTGCTGGGTTTTTAGAGGCAGTTAATCGCACGGGAGGTTGCCCATCCTTTTCCCACGGAGCAGCTGGTGGACTCGAACTGCATGCCTGTGGAATTGCAGTGCAGCTTCTTGCCACTAGGCCACCAGTGCTCCCTTGGTAAAGTAGAGGGTCACCAGGATGAGACTCAGGGAGACGAATGAACACCATTCTAGCAACAATAGGCTTAAATACAGCAGAGATGGGAGGGCGGTGCAGAGCCAGGTGTTGGTGGATTGCTATGACGCGGAAACGACTGGGTGGCCCTGACAACAACCTGAGCTATAAGTGGATGGCACACTGTACTGTCAGGAAACCTGACCACGGCCCCATGGGCCCTGTTCCCCAAGCACATCTCCAAGGAGTCCCTGCACCCAGAGACTGAGGGCCTGAAAGCAAGATAAGCAGGGCCTTACTTGTGCCAGTTCACTCATCTGTGCTGAAAGTTTCTCGTGTTCACCTCACGCTGAAGCCATAACGCAGGTGGGAAACCAGCCATGTGTCAGCACCTCGTGGTGAAAAACAAGTGCACTTGTAAGTTCTCTTCAGATTCATGATTCATGAGTGAGCACGAGTGAGCTCATGCTTATCTTAATCACTGGGCTTCCACCCCTGCCAGGGGGGCCAGGGGCGCCAGGGGCACACATGCACGCGTATACATACACACACACACACAGATTCTGTGCGCTAGGGTTGGGAGAGAGGAGAGGCAAATGTCAGCCCTTAGAAGCAGTCTTTGAAGAGGTGAAACGAAAATGGGAAATTGTTCACTTCAGATTAGTAAATAAGCAACCACACCTGTGCCTAATTTGTGGGGTCCTCTGACACTGCCTACACCTCTCCTTCAGTCTTTTGGGGTCCCCTGGCCTTCAACATGTGTGAGTCCTGACCCCCTACCAGATGTGTGCTGAGTCAGTTGTTTCCAGCTGGCAAAGCTGGCCGCAAGTCTGTCCCAAATGCTCAGTGAAGTCACGTCGGTGGGGACTGTTCATATCACAGGGACTGGCACACGCTGCAGACCAGACCCATCCCTGAGAGTCCACTGTCGCAATCGCCAGCTGGCACTGCCCACCTCTGTCCACTCCTGGCTGCACTGAGCTGGACCTCCAGCCCCAGGCCCCAGCCCAGCACCTCCAGATTTCCACCTCCAGGTCGAGGACTGAGTGGACGTCCAGGTCCTCACCGCTCAGGATTCTTGTACAGATTTCAGAGAGACGTTGCTTTAACTGTCTGAGCCTTGGTCTTCTCATTCTGAGCAGAGGTAAGAATGCAGACAGCAAAGTCACACTTCGGGGTTCACACGCTCTACTTACATAACTTCTGGCAAATTAGATGACTTCCTTGAGCCTCGCTTTTCGCATCTGTAAAACGGGGCTAATAGTTCCTGCTTGGCCGGGATGTCACGCATTGTACCTCTAAAGAGGTTAGCTCCTTATTAGAGAGCTTTCTATCTGATTTTATTTTTATGAGTTTTATAATCAAGTCCTCAACCAAGGGGCAGTTGTGCCCGGCTCAGTGTAGCGTCGGCTCGCAGCAGGTGCTCCTGCGGAGCCCTACCCAGTGGTCATTTCAAAATGCCTCTGCCCAGGGTGGAGGCCACTTTCGGCCCCGCCCGGTCCCCGCCTCCTCACCTGCGCGGGCTGCGCACCTGGCTCGCCTCCGGAAGAGGGGACCCGGGACCGTGGGGACCGGCGGGAGCCTGGCGGGCAGCGCAGGTGAGGGCCCGGGGGGGCGCCGAGGACAGGGGCTTCGAACCCGGGTGACGTGGGCCGGCCGGGTGGGCAGTAGGAGGGACCCGAAGACCGGGGAGCTGACCGGCGACGGGAGAAGGGGAAACCAAATGGGCTCCGGGCCGTGGGGCAGCGGGATGGAGGATTGGGGGCGGACACCCCAGCTGGGCCGGGGACCAACGTGACACCCGCGTCCGGCGGGCAGGAGTGGAGTCCTGCACCTGCGCGGGGGGATGGGAGAGTCAGGTGTGGTTGTGTGCGCTGCAGGGGCGCGGGGGCTTTGAGATCCCGGAAACGGCACCCCGAGCCTCTGGGGGTCTCCCCGAGCCCGGGCCGAGCTGGGCGCCAGGGGAGCGATGAACCCGGCCCTAGGGGCGAGCCGGGGATAAACAGAAACCCGAGGGTTCCCGCGGCGCGGCCGGCACAACCTGTTACCTCGCCCCGCCCGGAACCGGGGCTCTGGCCTCAAGACAGCGCGGGGTGCGCCTGGAAGGCTGGGGCGCAAACACCGGGGCAAGCAGGGGAAGCCAAGAAGGCAGGGGCCAGGGACCAGGGCCAGGGGCGGAACGGGGTTCTGGGGGAATGAGCTGCTTCTCAGATCGTCAGGAACCGCGAGCCGGGACAGCTGGGGACTGGGACGCTGGGGACAGGGACTCCTACGTGGTAGTCTACGGTCCCCCAGTTGGGTTTACTGAGGCGAAAACCAGCTGGCTCGTTTTCCTTTGCCCTTTGCCTGGGTTTCCCACCCGCGACTTGAACCGAGCTAGGTGGTCCCGACGCAGACCATTCGCCCTTCTTGGCCTTTGGCCTTGGCAGTGGTGCTGGGAGGCCAGGGGGCCAGGCGGGCCAGCAGGAGGGCGAGGAGTGGGCAAGCCCGAGAAAGCCACAGAGCCACTGTCCCCACAGATGCTGGAGAAGCCATGAGCTCCCCAGACAGGCCAGGCTTCCCGTCGGGGCTGCTCTCGGGGGGCGCCTCCCCCAGCGGCGATGAGGGCTTCTTTCCCTTCGTGCTGGAGCGGCGGGACTCGTTCCTGGGAGGGGCCCCTGGACCCGACGAGCCGGAAGACCTCGGTCTGCAGCTGCAGCGGAGGGAGAAGGACTTGCTGCTGGCCGCGGAACTTGGCAAGATGCTTCTGGAGCGAAACGAGGAGCTGAGCCGTCAGTTGGAGGCCCTGAGCGCCCAGCACGCCGAGCGGGAGGAAGTGAGCTGGTCAGGGGAGCAGGGTGGGCGGCGGTGCGGACCCAGAAGGCCAACAAAGGGAGGGCAGGTGGACAGGTGAACGGATGAGAATATGGGACGGAGACAGGTAGGGGTGGGGCAGATATGGGCCAGGCAAAAGGAAGACAGGTAGACAGAGGGCAGGTGGGCAGGTGAGCAGGAGCAGACAGGTACATGAGGGAAGACAGGTATGCATGTGGGCAGCTGCATAGGGAAAAACAGGAGTGAGGGAAAGAGGGGCAGGTGGATGGAGGCAGGAGAGAAGGGGCAGGCAGGTATACAGGTGAGGGGAGAACACTGGGGAGGAGACATACAGAGAAAGGAGCAACAAGCTGGAGGAAGCGAGGGGCCCAAGCGAAGATGAAGACAGACTGGCAGGGGGCAGTAGCCAGAAGGTGGGCAGGGGGCAGCCATCTGGGGAGGGGAAGACACAAGGAGGCAGGTGAGCAGAGAGCAGACAGATGTGCAGGTGAGTCAAGGAAAACTGGCCTGGAGAGATCACCAGGCAGGAGGACTGGAAGACTCAGGTGGGAGGGTGAAGGAGCCAGGCAAGGGAGGGCAGGTGCACAGAGGTATCACAGCCCGGCAGGAGGACACCTCTGGACTGGTTCCCAGCTGGGGACATGGCCCAACGGTCCAGGGCATGGGCTCTAAGGATAAGTCAAGGTCTGGCCTCAAACCCTGGCCTGGCTGCGTGGCTGGGCGAACCACTGGGCCTCTCTGGATCTTGGGGCTTACACCCTCCTGGGTGCAGGTCAGGCATCATCTCAGTTTACCCTCTCCCCACCCTGTGAGACAAGAATGGCTGTTTCCTCAGCCCAGCCTCTGTTTTCAGCCACACCCCCCCACCTTCAGCTAGAGAGACATTTGTCCCCTTAAGGTTCCCTCACATCACTGTCACATCTGCTCCATCAGCCCCAGTCCTGCATAGCTAGCTGCCCTCTCAGGCTCTGGAATGAGGCAGAACCCCACCTTTGCTGCCCCTCACCAGGTTTCCATCTCAGGATACACATCCAAGAGTGCGCGCTCTCTCTGCCCACCCCCAGACATTGCTAAGCTGCCAATTCCCTTCTAAACTTAGGTTCCCAATCCATTACCTCACTTTGCCTCCATCCTCTCCCAGATGGAACCATTACCTCCACCTGGCCACCAGGGGCGCATCAAAATTTGAAGATAAGGTGATTTCTCCTTGTTTTTTTTTCCAAGGCTCCCCTTACATGGGCCCTGAAATGGAAAGTCCCAGCAGGAACTTACAGTCCCCTCAGGATTCAGCTCTCCTTCCTCAGTGGGTTCACTTTCTTGCAGAACTGATTCGATGGCTTCTAACAATCATCACCACTCTCTGAATGTAAACTCCAAGTCAGTGAATGTATAGAAGCTCAGAAAATATTTGCTGCAAGGATGAATGAGTCTTCAACATATTATGGGACTTACTAATTAAGGCACAGCTAATTCTCAAAATGTGCCAGATGAACCCAAGGGCTGTGGTGCCACCCTACCTCAACTATTTGGTTATGAGCTTGACTGCTGTGTTAGAATCCCTGTTGCACTGACTCACTGTCTTCCTTAGGCAAATTATTTAACTTCTCTGAGCCTCAGCTTCCTCCTCTGTAAAATGGGATTGTTAAGAAGGGTTAAATGAGATCAGTAAAGCCCAAGCAATGTTGTTAGGCCCTGTCCAGATGGCTACGCCTCGGAGCCGCCCAGGAACAACTAGCAATGGATTTAGCTAATCGTAAAATAAATATAGCCTAGTGCACCCCTCCATTGTGTTTCTGAGGCTACCCATCTTTATGGGAGAAGACTAGCCACCTCTCTTCCTCAGAGCTGCTAGTGGATTAGAACTGCCAACTTTTGAATTACAAGCACAACATGCAACACAACACCAGGGCTCCTCTGGTTGATCACAAGCAGCAGTTAATTTGTATTTGCAGTTATGGTCATTATTGTACATTTGAAGGGGTGGGGAGAGTGGAGACCCAGGGCAGACGCCCAGCTGACCTGCCTCCTGGTGCTGGGTCTCAAACCCATGCTAGTCTGACAGGTTTGGGGGGGCGGGCAGGAAGAGGCGTGAGACCTGGGAGGAGCTAAGCAAGGCTAATTAGAGGGAGTTGGAGAGAGGGACCTGCCAGTTTGTTCCTCCAGTCCCCCCAGCACAGTGAGTGTGTGGTCATGGGCCGAGGGTTAGATTCTACCCGCCTCCGACGCCAAAAACGGCGCCTGAGACCTCGGCTGCAGAAGTCCAGGAAGCAGCCAGAGGTGAGTAGACATCATCAGTGAACCACGTTCCTCCTACCCGAGGTCAGCTCTCCAGTCTGGAACCTAATTCACTGCGCACCCTTCCTGCCTCTCCACTCTGGGCCTCCTGTCCCACCTTCCTGATTCATCCTTGTCCTCCAGCGACTGCAACAGGAGAACCATGAGCTCCGGCGGGGCCTGGCAGCCCGTGGAGCCGAGTGGGAGGCCCGAGCCGTGGAGCTGGAGGGAGACGTGGAGGCTTTGCGGGCCCAGCTTGGAGAGCAGCGCTCTGAGCAGCTGGACAGCGGGCGCGCGCGAGCGCGCGCTCTGGGCGAGCTCAGCGAGCAGAACATGCGGCTCAGCCAGCAGCTGGCTCAGGTGGGGATCCCATGCGGGTGTGTGAGCTGGGCTTGGTGTTGAGACTGGCCAGCTAAGGACTCCGCCCTGTCCCCCAGGCCTCCCAGACAGAGCAGGAGCTGCAGAAGGAACTGGATGCCCTCCGAGGGCAGTGCCAGGCACAAGACATGGTTGGGGCAGAGCTGAGGACTCGGTTAGAGAGCTTGCAGGGGGAGGTGAGTGTGAGTAGGTGCTGGGCCTCCCTGATTAGCGGGTGGAAAC